GTTTTCCGGAAAGCTTTATCTCCCTGTTCACTCTGTAACAACAGTCAGTGTTCAAACGCAGTCAATATAAAGTTGTTACAAATACATTTCTGTCACCGTTTTGTTTTGCAAAATGCTTCTGCAAGTTCAAACTTTGACATTTTCAGAGACATCCGCTGGGAAACAGAAACCTCGATCAATCCCTACTAGAAATGTCACATCCGAGTCTCTTGTCACCATTAGCTAGGAAAATATCACAGTTTCCGTGCTTGTTCTGTGGTAATGACCTACTTTTGATTAATTCATTCACAATTTGACAAATTGCGTGACATTCAGCGTTAAGCTGTGAATTCTATTTTTATGACTGGACAAAGACTACACTGCGTAATTTTCCCACTTATCATGCGGCCACTTGCCTGATGTGAACATAAAATATCTTGCATACCACCACTTGTGAACGAACCAGTATAATGCGAGGGTATCGTCACGTTCTCGCGAGATCTGACTGGTCACATCGGATCTCGTGAGATCTCATGCCACGAGATCTCGTCACACCCCTAAAATATAATAATCAATAATATTTGGGATTAAACTGAAGTGCTTTGCTAACAGGTTGATTATGTTGCTTTCATATGCAATCGGAAATTTCCTAATTCCTAATTAATAAATATACGTTAATATATATATGTATACGACAAGATTAAGCAATGTGTGGTGAAAAACTAATAAAGCTTAACAGTCACTACAGCAATGCATCCCTTTTCTGCCATGTTTAAAGTTTATGGCCCACACAACACAAAAACTCAAAATTATTTCCAAGTATCTTGAGACACCATTCCTGCCCAATTTCTAACTAGAAAACTCGTATTTATGATAATTCCATAATTATGATTCACAAGTAACCTTGAACTAAGTTACATGTTAGTCGGCGCACTAAAACATGAATAACTAAAAAGGTTAGTTATTCATGAGGAAAATGCATAACTTTGCACGTTGCTTTTTTAAAATTAATAAAACTGATCAAATGAAACTAACTATAAAACTATTAATTTAGTTGAATTAAATCCCATTTTAGTTAAACTAAAACCAAGCTATGAGTTAACCAAACACTAAAGTTGGAGCACAAATAATGTCAATAATCACTAAAATGAAAATGGCTTCAAGAAGATATGGTGCTTTTGTTGTCATTTTGGAGCACAATAACCAGAATCCCTGTTCACTTTCATTACTGTAAATGAGCGGCCTGTACATTCTTCCATTTGTGTTACACCGTGGAAAGCAAGTCATATTGGGTTTGGAACAACACAAGGGTGAACTACTCATTTAGACCGAAGATATTACATTGAGAAAGGGAGGGTGTGCTGGAAGATGTCTGTGAACGGTCTAAAAGAACGCGCACCCGTTTAAGGCCGTATCGCCTCAGTCACATGTTGATGCCACTCGTCCATCATCATCCTACAGTCCTCCTGAGGAAAGGAAGACAAGCACAGCCTCAGCAGTTAATGATGGTGATTTACACGTGAAATGAAGATGTATGACTGCCGTTTAAATTGCGTTGGTTTTCCGGAAAGCTTTATCTCCCTGTTCACTCTGTAACAACAGTCAGTGTTCAAACGCAGTCAATATAAAGTTGTTACAAATACATTTCTGTCACCGTTTTGTTTTGCAAAATGCTTCTGCAAGTTCAAACTTTGACATTTTCAGAGACATCCGCTGGGAAACAGAAACCTCGATCAATCCCTACTAGAAATGTCACATCCGAGTCTCTTGTCACCATTAGCTAGGAAAATATCACAGTTTCCGTGCTTGTTCTGTGTAATTGACTTATGCATTGAAAGGGAGTGTTCAAAATAATAGCAGTGTGGAGTTTCATTAGAGAATTCATTCATTCTGTGGAAAAAACAGGGGTCATTAATTGTCCTTTATTAAGGAGGAAGGGAAGCAATGTGTCATACATTGTTATAAAATATATTTCCTTCTGAATTGCGAAGCTGTTTCATACACTGTTCGGAAGAACAAAGTAATTTGATTAAAAAGTTGATTGGAGAAGGGAAAACTTATAAAAAAGTGCAGTAAATTATAGGATGCTCAGGTAAAATGATCTCAAATGCTTTAAAATGGTAACAAAAACCCGAAACACGCAAAAGAAAATGAGCAACTATTGTTAAAACGGATCGAAGAATAGTCCGAATGGCAAAGATTCAGCCAATCATCCCCTCCCAATCATCCCCTCCAGAAAGATCAAATATGATCTATAATTACCTGTAAGTACTGTTACAGTCAGAAGACGTTTGATCGAAGCTAATCTGTCAGCAAGACGCACCATTGTTGAAAAAAGGCATGTGCAGAATCTGTTAAAATTTGCCAAGGAACACATTCTGTGGACTGGTGAGAGTAAAATTGTTCTTTTTGGATCTAGTGGACATCGACAGTATGTCAGACGACCCTCGGGTACTGAATTCAAGCCTCAGTACTGTACACTGTGAAGACTTGAAGCATGGTGGAGCAAAAATCATGGTATGGGATGTTTTTCATTCTACGGTGTTGGGCCTATTTATCGTATACCAGGTATCATGAATTAGTTTGAACACGTCAAAATACTTGAAGAGATTATGTTGCCCTATGCCGAAGAGGAAACTCTCCTGAAATGGGTGTTTCAACAAGACAACGACCCCAAACACACGAGTAAGCGAGCAACATCTTGGTTTCAGACAAAAAGGATTGAGGTAATGGAGTGGCCAGCTCATTCCCCCTGACCTCAACCCAACTGAAAACTTGTGGGGTGACAAACTTCTGAAGCAAACCCCAAAAATTCACAGGAACTGTGGAACGCAGTTCGTTCATCCTGGGCTGAAAAACCTGCTTCTAGTTGCCAGAAGTTGGTCGAATTGAATTTGATTTTGAAATGTTTTATTTTGAATTTGCAGTGTTTCCACTATATTTGAAATATGGAAATAAAAGCTATTAAAATATTTGCACTTTATTCACTTTTATTAAGGCACTGCTATTTATTTGAACACAACTGCAGGTTTATACTATATATCATTCTATAAAATACTGCACACATTATAAAAATATAAATACAAGTATAAATGCATGTAATAAGTGCATAATTGCATGACTTTAGCTGAAAAATGACTCTTTGTTATTGTCCTCTTGCATTATTGACAAACTATTGTCCTGCTTAACACTGTAAAGCTGCTTTGACAACCAGTATCGTATAAAGCGCTATACAAATAAAGGTGACTTGGAAGTTTAGGATGCATTTTTATTTTTTTGAACTTGATTTTGTGCTGAAATGTGCGCTGACAGGTTCATGAGACCCCTGCAGTAATGCGCTGTGTGTGATGACGGCAAGCCGGTGATTCTATACGGACAGATCATATCTTCAGGATCATCACAGACAGCAAACAGGAAGGAACTCAACCGTAATTCTATCTCAGAGATAAACAGCAAGAAAACAGCACAAGAACATTGAGAATGAACTCCTGCCATGGGTAAAAAGGAAATGAAAACCCACCATTTCAGAATTTTTCGTTTATTTCTCTGGAGGAACGCTTGAACCGTTATTAAATAAAACCTGTACAGTATTTACAGTCAGATATTTTACACCCAGTTTGGTCGCATGCACGTGTAACAAAAAGAAAGAAACTCTGTACAATCATTTACATTCCTTGGGAGGAGTCAATGCGATAAAAGGCACCTGTAACCTTTGTTGGTATATATATATATATATATATATATATATATGCCCCACTGCACTTCACCTGCTCCTGGAGCTCAATAAACTGTCAGCTCTGCTCAGTTTTACAGTAGAACGGCTCTAAAATGACTGATTGTTCTGTCAAGCCTTTAATTTTAGCCTCTTTTTCTCTATTACTTAAATGTCTTTTCTATTCTGCATATTAATTGCCTACCTGGGTTGCCAGGTAACTAGAAAGCACCCCATTGAAACATTAGTTTTTTCCCAAAAAAGGGATTTAACAGCAGCATTTCGCGATGGCATGACGTCCCACACGCTGAGAGTGAGGTAAGGCGTAAGGCGTACTGCAGTGTGGCCCTGCGCTTCAGGCCGGGAGAGAAAGAGAGGGGCATAAGGCAGCTGGGGAAACAGTGGCAACCTGCTTACCTTTGGCATCACAGGGGGGCAAAGCCACAAGTTAGCGCTACACTGATCAATAGACAGGTGTCAACAATCTCCCCTGTACAGAAAAGCTTTCCTTTGAGATTCTATACAGATGTAGAAGCTTACACAGCATGTCAATGCCATGCATCACTGGCCTAGAATATAAAATATAAGCACCGTAAAGCTACAACACTAAACGTACCACTGGTAAACTACTGCTGTGAAGCTAAATGCATAAGAAAGATAAACCCCGGAAGCTTCACATTGAAAGTTAAGACCGCTAAAGACCGACTTTAAGCTGAGCACCAGGAATTGCAGGCCACTGACTGGCATGGCTGTAAAAAGAGTCAGTTTAAGGTACAGTATATTTAAGATTTAACTGTCAATCTCAGAAGCAGCCTTGTGAACCAATGTGCTTTCAGACACAATGGAGAAATAACTGAGAGGCTGAAAGTTCCAGTGTTGTTATGGAACTGAATTCGCAAACCAAGTTCACAGTCTTTCAGTCCTAGCAATACCAAGCACATTTTGACAAGCTCTCTTCACAAGAATTTTACAGTTGTACCAAAAATGCTTCAAAATGCTATTCTAAAATGAAATGAGTTAAAGCCGCACAGTCTTTTGTAAACTCACTAATGAGGGGCACTTATTAAAACAGGTTGACCCTGTGATAGTATGCATTATTATTAGAATAGCACACTGTACAAACACGATCTCGGAACCTCATTCGTTGAAACAGAATTAATTGTAGAAACTGTATGGAAAATAATTTGTGTAATTCTTGCATTATGTAAATTGCAAATGCACATACAATTCAAACATGTTTTTACGAACATGCGCAGAAATTCATTTAGCTCGTTTTTCGAATGAGGCCTCTTGTTCGTTTCGTTTAAAGATTATTTAAATCAAACTTTGGCAACACGTTTGACGCTGTACATTTTGATCTCCCTTTAAGAACAAAACACAGACGCACATCAAAAAAAAAGATGCAAGACGGTATAAAGCAGCATTTTTTCACAGTTTTGAAAACAAATGTTCTTTGAAGTAGATGCTCTGATCATTATTTAATAAATTTGGCCTTATTTTAAAAGACTTCACAGAAAATTCCATTTCTTTTTTTTTTTTTACAAATGTATTACTCTGTTTCAAAGGACACAAATGTATTATTTGGTCAAAAAACGGCCTATATTGTTAATAGTTCTACATTCTAGAATCATAAACCCAAATATAATCGAAACGAGGATGACATACCGGCTTAATGACGGTGCAGTTCACACTCAGTCTACTGTTAAATTTAAAGAGATCTATATAGTGCCAACCACTGGCAGAAATCTATTAACCTAAAGGTTAAGGAAGCCCCTACTGCATTCTTCCTTATGAATATTTATGCATGTATATGAGCTTTACAGTATGCAAATGACTCCAGCCTAAAGACTCTAAAGATATATCCACTGTATAGTAGCTTTAAATGACTGACAGCAGCTTTGCGACATAACGTTGTCTTCGAAAAAGGGAAAAAATCTAAATCAAAAAGTGTAACTTGCAAATTAGATAAAATCTCTTTCCGTAGCATGGGAATCCTGCTGCGCTTGATGTGTGATTATCCATGCTGTGGGTCCTTCATCAGATAAACCGCATCTCTCTTGTCTGTAAATAAGAGCTTCCTCCTTACAGCAGCTCGTGTACACGGCTGCATTCAGGTGGTGAATTGCCAAGGGCAGATAAGAGTGATAGATATGTTTCATTAAAAAAGACTGTAAATCTAGGAAAACCTGAGAAGGGAACAGCGCGTGGCACAGCAAGATTGATGGCGTAAAAATAAACAAAGCTGCATGTGTTCTAGCAAAACAAGCTCGCTGACGCCCACGTACCCCCATCAGGCACGCCGTATCCTCCAATGCAGAGGAGGCTGCTTCCTATTTCATTTAATAGGGAGTGAAACTGAGAGGAGGACTGGAAAACACGGTGCCCAACTTGACCTACTTTAACACTGCTGTCTTTAACATGCTTGATGCTTGTTCAAAAGTGTGATAGTGGAGAAACATCAATGGCTGAGGTTCATTTTATCACAATTTTACATCTTATTATGGTGTCTTAAAGCGGTAGATTGTGTGAAAATGTATATTCTGTAAAAATGTACTAAACTTTATGTTGTCCTAAACCTTTATGAATTTCTTTCTTCATTGGAACACATAAGGAGAAGCTTAGCAGATTGTTCCAGCTGCTCTTTTCCATTTTGACAATGAATGGCCAAAATCAAGCTCCAAGAAGTACAAAAAAGCATAAAAACATCAGCAGTCTAATGTTACTTGTGCATTGTTTTCCTTTTTTTAAGTCAAATGACAGATTTGTGTGAGAAACGAACAAAAGTATTTCGAGATGACACGTCTATAAATGGCATACTTGAATATACAGTACACTGACAAGAATGAGTGAAACATGTGAAACAGATGATTTTTTATTGAATAACAAATTACATTTTAAATGAAATTTTTTGTGTGGCTTCAGAAGATTTGGAATATAGAACACTGATTTTATATACTATTTTTATGGTGTTTTTGGATGATTCTTGAAGCTCAAAAGATCCACCTCCATGTACCTTCATTGTATGGAAAAGAGCAGCTGGAACAATCTGCTAAACTTCTTCTTTTGTTCCACTGAAGAAAGTACGCCATTCAGGTTTAGAGTAAAGCACTATTTTCATTTTTAGGTGAACCGTCCATGAAAAATAAAAATGCTGAGGACCAGAAATAAAATATCAAAAGCCGTTGTGCAAATTCTTTAACACTTCTGTTTTAAAGTGTTATAAAGGGTAGCCATAATCTAGAAAAACTAGTGGGCTAAACAAAATGACCCAATTTTCATCCAACATTCCAGCGTTAGATTGTCTGAAATTCTGTTTGTCGTACCAGGACTGTGTCCAACAACATGAAACTGGGTCCTTTTCTACTCTCCTCAGGGGATCGTTGCCTTTCAATCAGATGCTTGAGCCTGAGGTAACATCTAATTCGGCCTAAAACTGTCTGCTAGTGTCACTAAACTCAATCCCCTGATGAGTTGGGCTTATTACACGGGCAGACTCTCAAAATGCCCACTCAGCAGACTCTCAATACTGCTTTACACTTCTGAGACCTCTATCCACACATCTAGAAGACAATAAAGCTGGAGTCCTGTCATGTGCAAGAAACCAGAATCGGTGAAGGTTTAACACACAAAATCTAATTTTAAACCTGAGGTAGAAAACAAAAAAATTCAAAGCAGGATGGAGCGAACGAGTTTAAAAGAAAAGGAAGTGTATCTGAAGAGGGCTGTACGGTGTTTGGCTGCGGTTTAGGGGAGCCATTAGTAATCTGAAATGTTCAGAGAAACCCCTGGAAGAGGAAGGCATTGAAAAACATGGTGGTCCATAATATTGCACAATGTTTTAAGGGAATGTGGGACTGGGATTGATGACGACTGCATCTGCTCGTTCTTAGTAAACACAAAAGGTGCCAATCTTCTGGATACTGAGAAAAAGTGATTCAGTGTCTGATACTACGTCAAAGCTAAAGTCATATGGCTTTCTAGGATTTACAAAAACGACTCTGAAATGATTCCACCTTGACGTGATAAATATTCAGAAGTAAAATCAGCAGCTACAGATGAAGTCACCTCAAGGACATGTTTTCGTTTAGACAGGAAGTGCAGAAGGACACTTCACTGTACAGATAATACAGTTTCGGCATCACCAAAATGGCACCTTAAAAACATCCAGAAGAAAGCAACCGGCAGTTCCTCAGACTCATGATCATTGGACCGTATTCCTCAGAAGCGACTCCGTTTTCAGCCGGTTGAAAGGGTTGTGTCTTCTAAATCAGACGGCTGTGCCTCATCTCCTAAAGGCAGGTCCATGAAACTGGCCTTCTGGAGAGAGAAGGCTGACCCATGGACTCGTCGCCAAGGTCGGTTTCAGACACCTAAAACTGTGGTGTCCAATTAGCCGTCAGCCCAAAAAGGCTCCACTGATAGAACCGTTCCAAACGGAGGATTGTCACCTTTTCTTCCCCATCTTCGGATTCCAGATCTTTACTCTCATGTCACTGTGGGATGGAAGAAACAAAAAAGGGAGACATAAAATGAGAGGTGGAGGAGATGCTCAAGGCCAGTAATCAGAAAGACAGACACACTCGGTTGTCTGAATCTTCAGACACATCACAGTAACTCCTCACATTGAAGAGATGGCACAGACATCAAAACCAAGAGTTCACAAAGCGAACCGCAACAGTCCCCGCTCCTCTCACCAATTAGGTGCATGCACCGCTTCATCCCAATAAAAATCAAAACCCCGCTGTGTGAACCAGCCCACAGAACCGCATACTCGCATCTTAACTAGCACACTCGATCTCTGAAGAAAAAGATCGCAGCGTGATGCAAATGAATGGGTCATTAGGTTGGGATAAAGTTCAAATAAGTTCTTCACAGGAAAAAATAAAAATCATTATTTTTCCAGAAAAAAAAAAAAAAAAAAGATTAATTCACCTCAAAAGCAAAATTGTGTACGATAATGAGAGAGAATTTTCAGTAAAAAAAAATGTAAGTACATTTTTCCTAACCCAATGTTTTTTTTTCAATTTTACGCAATTTAACGTGGTTTGCGCAAGAAGAAAATTGCCAATAGGATATAAAAAATGTTTCACCAAGAAGGTTTTAGCCCAAATTTCTAGGTCTTGCAAAAAGCACTTCAGTTTATGAAGTTAACTTATGACCAGTTCTAAACGGCAATACTGAAATGGATCCTGGTGAAGCAGCACCATGTCTCGCGGGGCGTTGAGGTAGGATGTATCTTGTGGTTCCTAGACCTTAACTAGAACCAATTAAACAGATTTATGCCACTGGTGTTGAATGCAATTAAAGGTGCAATAGGTTTTTATTGCTCTCTAAAAGATGAGCCACTTGAGTGCATTGAAATGGGGAAAAAAAAAAATATGCATAGAGTCTAATTAGTACAATTTTCCTTTATTGGCCCAAAGTGAAAGAGCTAAGGGAAAGTTCTGTGGGATCAAACACCTGAAAAGAAGTTGGCCTATGAAACGAAACTGCATGAGAGAGCTGGAAACAGAGAGAAGATGCACACAGAGAAAGACGATATACAACTGACAGAGTGAGAAATAATTGACAACAACAAAATGACATAGTTGAGCTGTGTAGTTTATTCTCAAGACATTCTGCGGCTCACGTCCCGATATCTTGAAGCTACAAAATTGCTAAAAATAACATTCTTTGAAAGATTCAAATGTCACCTTGCAAAGCTTGGCAAATCTTGCAACTAGTTTTTTCCTCAGAAACCTGATCAGCATTTTGTTTCCAAATAGGCTCATTGAAACCTGCGCAAGTTGCGAAGTAGCCAGCCATTTCAGATCACAGCTTGAAGTTTTGGAAGATTCTTGCCACTTTTATGTGCTGCAATATGCATCAGACAATCTGAACAGGCTGAAATGACCACTTTTATGTGATAAGTATGCTTATGGTAGGAGAGTTTCAGCTAAGGACTTGTCAGAGAGAAAACGGGAAAAGGGGAAAATACTATCAAACAGAGAGACTTCGAGAGAAAGGACAGTACCAGAGGGAACCAGGCAGGAGGTGGTTAGTGGAGGCTCAGGGGAGGCTGGTGGCCCGGCCCTTGATGGCCAGGACCCGACGGGGCAGACAGGGCGTGAGCCCGGGGACATAACTCCACAACTTCACCCGACAGTCACTGTGGTTATGAAGCCCCACAGCGCGAAGGGAAGGGATGAGAGCGAGAGAAAGACAGAGACAGAGAGAGTTGAAAGAACAGGAGAGCTTTGTTAGAGGCACATTAATGAAGAACAGTCAAACAATCCCACAATCCCCTGCCCACACCATCTGTTCTACAAACAAGCGCCCCCGAAATGCACAAAAGTAAGTCTTAAAAACATATTAGTCTGACTGAACATTTCTAAGTAGCCTACTGTCTGGAAAAAGACGTCACAAGAGAGTGAACAGAGTCGCATCGAGCTGATGACACATTTAGGACTTTGGAGGGCCGTAAATAACTGGTTATATTATTATTATTTCAAAATGACCATAGTTAAAACCTGTTCTTCTATAGGATATGAAAGATGTTCTTCATCTTGTTTTCCTAGTGCACCTATGAAGTTTTCTTTCTTCTAATTTAGAGATGGGAAGTATGACCTGCAAACAGGTTCTTTCGACCAAACTATTCATCTTTTCTTTAACATCATAATGTATTTCCATACATTATGTGACATTAGCTCACTGTGGCAAATACAGCCATTTATTACCACTGTTCGATTAAGATGAATTGTTGTATTTCTTGCATTTTTGCATATCTGCGTGTCCCAGTTGAGTTTTTTTACTCCTAGCATAATTGAGATAAATGTTCATGCCATATAAAGTTCTTAGCATCTCCTATAGGCTTTTCCCTGCATATTGAAAATGACTAACAAAGTTGATTACATTTCTGTCATGTTGCTAATATCACAGTTTTGAAATCCTTGTACACATGGTAATGCACGAATGCAGAAATATATGGCCTTTGTGTCTTGTGTCAGAAATATATGGGTCAATGACAAATAAGAGTGTCTAATTTCAAAAATCTCTCTTTGTATTCACCTCCAATCATTTAGTCTGCTTAAAAGTCGCCCCTGCAAACTTCTGTTCAGCTGCAGTTTTTGATTGCAATGCCCAGCAATCGATGCACAGGAAAAAGTCCTTAACTTTTTTTTTTTGATAAGCCTTTACACTCATTTACCTCACAATATGGAAGAAAGGATATATATATATATATATATATATATACACAGGTGCATCTCAAATTAGAATGTCAAGGAAAAGTTCATTTATTTCAGTAATTCAACTCAAATTGTGAAACTCCTGTATTAAATAAATTCAATGCACACAGACTGAAGTAGTTTAAGTCTTTGGTTCTTTTAATTGTGATGATTTTGGCTCACATTTAACAAAAACCCACCAATTCACTATATCTCAACAAATTAGAATACTTCATAAGTAACATAACATTTTTAGTGAATTGTTGGCCTTCTGGAAAGTATGCTCATTTACTGTACATGTACTCAATACTTGGTAGGGGCTCCTTTTGCTTTAATTACTGCCTCAATTCGGCGTGGCATGGAG